CTCTTCCCTGATAGCAACCTGGTTATTTGATACAATGTCGTCAGGTCTCTCTTACCAGCCGGCAGCCTGTTCTGCTTCACTTGGCAGTGTTTCGTAGAAGTGTCGTTTGTCTTTCCGTGCACTCTTCTTCACTTCTTTGTCCAGTGCTTTATACATTGTGCTCAGTCCCTCTTGTCATTGAGCATCCTTGCACTGGTTTATCTTCTGCTTCACCATCCTCCTCTCCTCTATCAGCTTCCAGGTATCCGTCGAGATCCATTCCTTGTCTTCTTTCTTCTTCCTTCCTAATACTGTTGTGCAGGTTTCTTTCCACATAGCTTTCAAAGACTTCCAGTGTCCTTCCACACAGGTTTCTTCAGGGATGTTCCTCGATGTCTCCCATTTTGTCTTGATGGCTGGCTGCCTTGAAGATCTCCTTTGTAGTTTCGTCCTTCAGTTTCCGAGTGTTGTACTTGAATTGAGGTCTATCACCAGCTTCCTTGAAGGCTTTTAACTTGATTTGGAAGGTTCCTTGCACTAGATAGTGGTCTGAACCTACATCTGCTCCTCTTCTTGACCTTGTGTTAAGTAGGCTGACTGCGTCTCCATTTTCTTGAGATTGAGATAAAGTCGATTTGATTTTTAGTGTGTCCATCTGGTGAAATCCATGTCACTTTGTGGATATCTTTGTGCCTGAACACACTGCCTCCAATCACCAAATCGTTGAATGCGCAGAATTCTGCAAACAGTTCTCCATTCTCATTCATTTCACCTAGCGCTCCAAACACTATAATGCAGACTAAAGGATGCAACAACCAAAGAAGACAAACTGAATATCATTTACAAAATCAACTGCAATAACTGTAGTCAACACTACACATTACAGAAAGTGGTCGCCCACCTTCGCCTTCGTCTACATGAACACCAATTGGCTATTGAATGTCATACTCGACATCTCATCACTCATCACTCAATGCACGTGGATAACAACTGTGGACATGAATTCAATTTCGACAATGTAGAAATGTTAGATGGAGAGAGGAAAGACAAAGAATATCATCAGGGAATTCCTGGAAGCTTGACATTCATGTCAGTCAGTCAGCAATCAGTAGATGTATAGACATAGACATAATCTATCAACCAATAAGAAAAATGATAAACGACAGAAAGGTGACATGAAGCAGAGGAGCAGCCACCAGGAACATCGATACAGTCAGTCAGTGACACAACAATCGAAGGGAACAACTAATCACGCATAAAGCAGTTGGTCCGGGCAATCTAGTGAATCACTGATGGAGAGATATTGACAGTTCACTTCATACTGAAGTAAGTGTTGATGATGTCACTGTCTAGAAAGACGATGAAAGCTTCTCCACGATTAAACAACCCAGCTGAGAGAACACAATACAACCAGGAAGTTTAATTTGGAAACTCGTATCAACTTCGTCCCACCCTCTTCTTGATATCACAAAACGAATCAAATGTAAAATGTTGCGAAACACTAAGGTACAGTTTATCCTCATGTAAAATACGGGAAGTATTGAAATAATGGCAGTAGAACTAAACCTTCGCAACGACCAATGACGTTGGAGTACGCAGTAACCAATCAGAATTAAGTATATGAAGGACGTAATTATGTACGGAAAATGGTATTTTACTTACACTTTATAAATCTGTTTTGCATAGGAAATAAAGATATCTAGATGTTTCATTAGGTTTATCATTTCTGACACTACACCACTGTTTGTATTGTCAATAGTCCAAATGAGATGTAGATGAGATCCTTAAAAAAATCATCCTGTTCTCAAAAATTTCTTTTTGTAACAACTAGGAAAATGAAAGATAAAACCATATCTTTTCTCATAAATTAGATTTTTAGAAAACAATCCAATTCAATGCTAGTTACTCATCATAATTCATAGAAAGTTTATGCAGCACCAACCACACGATAAACGGACGTGGCAAGTGACCTTGAACCCAGCATCTTCAACCTGATTGGCCATTCTCAAGGTTTTCCATTATTAAAGTTTAGCTCTATCGTAAGAGCATATATGACCAAAGTATTCATATTATATCTCGCTGACAAATTCCGGCAAGACGGAAACCAGGACCACTAGAGAGTGCTGACATGGGTTGGAATCGAAGGGGATAGGTAGAAAACCAGCCTCCTTGAGGTTGCAGATGCGCCATGCTGACGAGTACCAGCAAGTAAGAAACTTGGGTTAAGTAGGGTTTCCTGACCGATTACCTCCAGTTAACTATTATCCAGCCACTTTTGGTACATACTATCTTGTGCGAATGCCTGCATATTATTGATAATTCTATTTTCACATCAAGGGTAAAAAGTGGTCAAGAAAGGAACCTTCGGAAGTCTATTTAGACTTATTTGGGACTAGTTGGCTGTGTTTATCTGACTCTCAATGACGTTTTTGGATAGAGAGTGACTGTCGTGACTTGGTAACCTGGTAGACAACCTACTAGCATTTGAAGCACCGAGTCTTAGACGGATAGACGACATCTACTGAGATGCAAGAACATTCAGCTGATAAGTTCCAAACGGGATGAGATGAAAGACTTGTATTTCACTGCTGGTCATTACTGATCTTCAACAACTTGACCTTCTGTTATTTAATCGATTATCTTTGTTCAACTTACTTTGTATTTATAAACACGCTAACACATGAACACAAAAGCAACAACTCCATTTCATTTCCATAGTTGAATGTTATTGCATTTTTTTGGTCTACACATTGATTTTGAGGTTTACTCTAGTAATACACGATCCTGAGACTTGGATTGATAAAAATCCTTCTGAGCAAACTACTCAGACTATATTACATCATCATTTGAGTGGTATAAAGCCTCAGGATTGTTATCTCTTACCGTTTAGATAATTCTTATTGACAGAAAACTACAGAACCACATTATGAAGGCCCGTATGGCTTTGGTCAACTTCTGTCATCTGCAGCGCTGACTAGCAAGATATCTGACTATATATTAAAGAACGAGTATGCTGCTCTACTTCAGTCCGTTATCTCCTGTTATGAGGCTAAAATGACATGGAGCATTGCTCGGATTTGGTGGAATCATTGTGTGAACGATGTTGAAGTTAGACAGAGGGTACTAGGCAAGACAGGCAAGTCGATTGATGAGGTTGTGAATCTTCATCAACGTTGATGGTGACGTGGGACAAGTCGATGATTCGAGTCATGTTAGACAGATGTAGACTATCGACCTAGGATTCCTTAGATGAAACGAATCAGTGGTTGAGAAGTCTTGGTGACATCAATGAAAATCATTCACAATGGTTCATGTGTGTGATCACTCCTTGGCATCTTTTGTAGCTTGAATATCCACTTTTCTCTTGTGTACTACAGTGGAGTATGGCCACCTTAATCGATGAACTTGTGTTCGAAATGATTCTATGTTGATTTGCTCTACATACAATTTTTCTCTCATGAATTTGACAATAAGAACAGACAGTAAGAAGAATAGCATCCAATTTGGCATATATGTATTTTTCAGAATGAAACCTGTAGGATATGATGTTTACGCGTTGTTGCTTGTTTGACACCGTCGTTGATTGGATCGAATTGATCCGTCTCTGTTGGCATATGGGCTCCTGTGCAGATGCCTCGATATTGCCAGCGTTCTAATTATGTATAGTAATGATGGATAGTGGCTAGTAGTGGAATCCAGTATGCTCATTTCATCCAATTTGGGACTAGTCAGCTGGATGTACCTGCCTCCCAGTGAGTGTTGTTCCCAGTGGGATTCGGACTCAGGAGCGACCGCTTCAAACTCTAGACCGTTCTCCACTACACCACCGAGGCACGATAGCCACTTCTTGTGCGATGGGTATAGCTTTAGTGTTATTGCTTGTATTACACCGTCTTTGACTGGACCTAAATGGAGTGATCGTTTCCGAGTCCGAATCTCAGTGGACAATATCAGTCACTGTGAGGCAGGTACATCTAGCTGACCAGTGAGTCCCAAATAGGACAAAATATGCTTCCCAGATTCCTCTGCTAGCCACTGCCCATCGTTACTATACATAATTAGATTGCTGGCAATATCGAGGCATCCGCAAAGGAGCCCATATGCCAACAGAGAGTGGTGAATTCAGTCCAGTCAACGACGGTGCAACACAAGCAACAATACTAAAACTGTACCCGTCGCACGAGAAATGGCTATCGTGGCTGGGTGGTGTAGTGGATAACGTTCTAGCGTCTGGATCGATCGCTCCCTATTCCGAATCCTGGTGAGAACAATACTCACTGGGAGGCAGGTACATCCAGCTGACCAGTGAGTCCCAAATGGAAAGAAATGGGCACCCTGGATTCCTCTTCATATCATTACTATGGTGTTTATGGTTTCAAAAAATCCAGGTATACCACATACCTTCATAAATCGATAAGAATGTTTCGATTGAGATATTTTTATTAGAGTAAGTGAAACTTGAAAGGAATGTAATTAGAAATGGCTTTGTCCATGTCGATATCCAACCACGAACCCATCACCCATCAGATATGCAGAAGAAGGAAGTGGAGATGGATTGGGCATATACTGAGAAGACCATTCGGGGACATCACATACCGGGCCAGGTCATCAAGTGGAACCCAGATGGGAAACGACGAGTTGGGCATCCGAGGCGAGGATGACATGCAAGAGATGATGTGAGGAAGACATGAAAGCTTGTGGGTAGTCGTAATGCCAGGTTTAAAAGATAGCAGAGAAGAGAGTGGAATGAAGACGTTCTGCTGAAACCCTATGTTCCATTAGGAACCTAAGGGATAAATAACAATAATATTGCGTATGCTTTAGTCAACCTTATCACTTTTATCATTTGTATCATTATCACCATCGTTATTCTTACAACATTTATCTCAGTAACCGAGAAATCTACATGATTGATTTACCTTTATATTGGAGTAAGTGAAGCTGAAGGGGCGGGATCAAATTGAAAAGGATATTGTTCGCTTATATATATCTTATTCTATCTCTTATCATTTCTCTATTAGTTAGATGTATGAATCCATTGTTGAAAAACTTGAAATTATTGCCAAATGACGAAAATTTCGATATGAAAAAGTTGATTATTTCAATACTTGTTGAAGTATCCAATGATTCAGCTGCAATCTATGTAAGTGTTTTATTTAAAATGATTAAGAAAACCATTCACTTCACTGAAACCATCAAACTGAAATACTCTCTCTCTCTCTCTCTCTCTAATAATCTGTAATAGAATGCTTCACTGATTACATTGAACGATGTTCACATTGCACCACACATTCACAGAAGCAGAAGTAGGTGAACATTTGAATTTTGACTTAATGACAGAATGATAAAATCTCACCTGGTTAACTAGTTCACTAGTTACAAGCCAATCGTAAGCCTGGGTAAAGGGAGAAGGTTTGGCATATGGCTAGCAACTCTACACTGTAAAACCAATTCAATCGCTACAGAAACTTCAAAGCACAAACAAAATATAAAAAATAATAACAAATTTATTCCTCGCTGAAATCGGGGAGATGAAATGACGCCAGCTGGTGAAAGCCTTCGCTAAGCCAATTGGCCGATATGTCTTCTCCCAATGGAAGAGAAAGTAAACATGGGGACATGGAATGTTTGAACTTAGGTTGAATGATAATGTATTCACCAAGAAAATCTTGAACTTTGTACCTTATGGCATCATGAATGTGCAAAGCTGAGGACTCCCATACTGGAGTGAAACAGATGTCTAATGCTTCCAGAATTTCAGTTTTTCTCTTACTTATCATTATTATTTGTCCTTTGAACCTCGTCTGATTAAATAGCTCACTAGTTACTTGCCGGTTCTAAGCCTGAACCAAGAGGGACGCTTAGGCAAAGGGCTAGCAACCTTACCCCGTAAAACCAATCTAAGCGCTAAAGAAACTTCGACAGCGTCGACCGACAAGCAATTTGGCAACTGCTTCATCACTACGGTCTTAGTGACACAAACGTTTATTAACCTCATTCAAGAACTATATGAAAACGCCACATGCCAAGTGATCCACAATGCAAAGCTCGGTAATGCCTTTGAAGTAAAATGAGAACAGGATTAAGACAAGGCTGCCGCCTACTATCACCGATGATCTTCCTGATTATGGTCGACTGGATCATGTGGCAAACTGTGAGGAGCGAGAAGATGGGCGTACGCTGGACCGACGAGACAAGCCTAGAAGATTTGCATTTCACCCATGATGATTTACGTCCAATGTGTAATGTAGCACAAACTCGAAGATGTACAGGCGAAGACTAACAAGTTGACAGAAGAGGCGAGGTAGGGCAGGGAAAACGGGACTTCAAGTGAATGTAGACAAGACATAGGTGATGACGATACCCAGCCAACAATAAGCACCAATCACCATCAACGGGGAAATGTAAACGAAGTTGTGTCTTACACCTACCTACCTCGGAGGCAGCATCGTCTCAACTACAGGTAGCGGCACAGGCAAAGATGAGGATGTCAAAGTGACGTAGGATCGGAAAGACAGCAAGACAAGCTTTCCTTCATCAACCTGAAATGAGTGTGGAGATCTACTGCACTCCACCCAGCACAAAGAACAAGACCCGGATTTTCTACACCAATGTCAGGTCAGTGCTGCTATATGGTTGAGAAAGCTGGCGTGTCATGAAAAGCAGCACTTCCAACAAACTACAGACATTCATCGACAGATGTCTACGCTCGACGATGAGGATCAGATAGATGGCCAGAATAATAAGAATAAGGAACAAGAAACTCTGGCCGGCAACAAACCAACCAACCAAGAACCTCTCATACAACAAATATGCAGACGAAAGTGTAGATGAGGAGGAGATCGTCTGAGGAAGAAAGGAAAGGTGATGGGGAGTCGTTCAACCAGGTCCAGGAGACTGGTGGGAAGTGAGCGCAATAGGGATTCAGTAGTAGCTTAAAGTACATCGCAAAAACCTCAGCAGAGGTAAAGAAACTAGAAAACAAATTTACAATCGCGCTACACTTCATAGAAATTTGATTTAAAATTGACTTTGATAGAATCAAGGCTCCACAGAAAGGTTTTTGGCCATAATAAGAAAAATTCACCGCCGAAGCCTTACATATATGGACGAATCCAGACAGTTTGAACAGACGAAATGGACGACAGTTACCTGCCTCTTGCCAATTATTGATTAGTAAGCAGAAAGGGTGACTCAAAGCATTTACCGTCAACACTAGTCTCATCTTCATTATTTATGAATCAACAACTTAATCTAGATTTGTCAACTCAATTGGTAATATTAATATATCCGGTAAGCGAATGATTTCTCTGGACATGGCCTCACTCTTTACCAATGTCTCACTCACGGAAACTATCTGCATTCTATGTGAGTTTATTGAAGATAAAAATTTTCAAGTGGATATACCAAAGCACCATTTAAAGGAATTACTTCTAAGATGTACTTTCAATATGCAGTTCAAATTCAACAATGATCTATATAGACAAAAGGATGAGGTTGTTATGGGGTCGCCACTTGAACCATTGCCGGCTGATTGCTTTATGGCGAAGCTAGAGAATAGTGTGGTGCATTCAACAATTTATAGTTTCTACCTATATCAAAGATATATGGATGACACATTCATCATAATTGATCAAAATACAGATATTGAGACTGTAGTTAAAACGTTCAATGATTGTCATCCATCGATGAGCTTCACATCAGAATTTGAAAAGAACTCGGAATTCCATTTTCTCTGTGTTTTATTGAAACGGAGACCAGATGGTTCTCTTCAGCAATCAATTTATAGGAAGCCTACTTGGAACGGAAAATATTTGAATCTCCACAACTGGATGCCTGTCAGCAGAAAGAGGAATTCAATCCATTCTTTATCCTCAAGAATCAAAAGAATCCTCACGAGTGATACTATTGACGAAGAATTAGATAAACTACGGAAGATTCTCATGCAAAATGGACATCCATCCAGATTTATCGATAAAAACCTGAAAGTAAATCAGAATATGGAGCGAGTATTCACAGTTCCTAAGAAGACCTTGTTTATGAAGATTGTTTTCAAAGGCGATGCGGCAGCAGAGATCCTGAAGAATCGGCTATCCAGATCACTGAACAAGATATTCCTCTATGCAAAACTGCAGATCAGCTTCTCTACTCAACAACTCATTCCGGAGAGCGTTAAGGACAAGTTAACACTTTTAGCCACCTCGATGTGTATCTACAAATTTACTTCCTCCTTCCTGTGGAGCTAGTTATATAGGCCACACAAAGCGCACGATTTCCAAACGTATCTCTGAGCACTACTATCCTGCATGATTGTCCAGGGGAGAATGTAAATCAATTAACAGCTCAACTCTCGAACATTTGGTCAACTCTGGACACATCAAGGTGGACCAGAGTCCTCCTTCAATGTCATTTATCGTGTCAGATGGAATAGTTGAAAAGGAGTACGCCTTCGACAGTTGTGCACAACGGAGGCACTGGCAATTCATCAATTCATGCCTCATCTCTGCATGCAAAAGAAGTATGTTCAATCTCTCATCTTACCATGGTCTTAACACTTTCATAATCTTCCTTCGATTTCATTATAATTAACTAGTTTACTGTTATTATCACTTTCATTATGACCCTTGTCTCATTCTTCACCTTCTTTACATCCATCCATCCATCCATCCTCCATCTATCTATCTATCCGTCAAGTGAACACTCAATATTTGAGTTTCTTATCTACCAATAATTTTCACCTTATCAAACTGCTTGGCTTCCTCATTATTTCTAGTGTCTCAGTGTATGTATTACACGACTACTTTGCATTCTTGATGTGGGTTTATTTTAGCACCAGGTTAATGATGTAATTATAGTGTATTGCATTATGATAGACTGTTATGTGTTTTCAGTTGGTTGGAGTCAGTCGGCAGGAAACCCTGGACCTAGGGTGTATCTGCAACCTCGACGTAACTGATGTTCCGCCTACAGGAGGTCAATCGCGGTCCGAATAGATCAGTGGTGAAGTCGCTGACTACACCACTGGGTGACGCAGGTTCGAGTCTCAGGCGGAACATCAGTTCCGTTGAGACTGCAGATATGCTTTGCTGGTGAGTCCGAAAAGGCATGAAACCTAGGTGAGTCAGGGCTTCCTGCTAATTGCCTCCAACCAACTAACATCTACTAATGTGCACCGCGATGCTGAGCTTCCTAGCTTGGTTGCTACATTTCAAATATGATCGATAGAATTCGGTGTACACTCAGGATTAGACAAGATGAAATTGGTTGTACTCCCCTGACCAATCAATATATGTTATATGTTTATGATATATGTATAAATATGATTGTACAGCTATAGAAGAAGGATATCGTCGAAAAAAGAAAATTTTCTTTGCTGAATTATCTCATCTCTATGACTCAATGGGCATGTTTCGTAGATTAATCTCACTCACTGTTACTTTCATCACGATCACCGCCATCAATACCACTCATTTCCAATCTATTTCTCCGATAAATCAACGAAAAAATTCATTAATATTATTCACCACTCTATTCGAAGTGAAATTGCGTACATACCCGCCTTATTCTATTCCATTATACTTATAAAATTACCAAATGACGATAATGCTTTAGTGTAATTGCTTGTACTACACCGTTGTTTACTGGACCTAATTGAAGCGATCGCTTCCGAGTCCGAATCTCAGTGGACAATATCAGTCACTGTGAGGCAGGTACATCCAGCTGACCAGTGGGTCTCAAGTAGGAGAAAATGCGCATCCTGGATTCCACTACTAGCCAATACCCATCATGACTATAATGTCACCAGTATCCTTTTCGTCTAATATTTACAATCAAGAGAGATATGAATTGTAGTACATATATACATGCACATATAACATACATATACCATACAACAAGTGACATACAATTTCACACTGAATGATTAGTTATCATAATTTGGATAGACAATGACTATACGAAGATGATTGGACAAGGAGATTATATACACGTTGTTTTTGGATTCATTTACACATATCCCTGATATTTTAATTTCGATTATTTCCCTGAAGAACGTCGAAGCAGAATTCCATACGAAACAAGGTTGCGATTATTTAATTTCAAACTCTCTGTGATTTACACAAATATTCAATCTATATCTGATCAGTGACTTACTTCGAGAATAAATTTCCCCAAGTTCCGATGAAAAGTTGTGACGACTAAGGTAAACCAAGTTAGATGCAAAAACAGTTACTCAATAATGAGATTGAATAGAGGTCTTACTGTATCGCAACGACCGTCGGATTTTGACCCAGTAACTCAGTGGTAACGTTCTAACTGCGGAACCTGAAGGTCATAAATACGATCCCTTGCAAGGTGGGATATTTGCTGCCCATTGCTGAGGATTTTCACCGGTTCTTCCATGGATACCAACGTTTCCGTCTTCAGTTGAGAAGGTCGAAGATGAATTGTTCTATACAACTTTTAAACGTTATGTTAGAATCCAGACGAAAAACATTTTATTCCTAGTATTATTTGTCGCTTGGGTTCGTAGTGGAACATAGGGCTTCAGTAGCACACCTCCATTGCACTCTATTCTCTGCAGTCTCCTCATCATCTCCTCTGTGTTACCCTCCAAGGCACAACTAGTAGTTTCCCATTTGGGTTCCACTCAACGTCTTGACCTAGCCTGACGCATGATGTCCTCAAATGGTCTTCTCAGTGTATGTCCAATTCAATCCATCTTCACCTCCTTCTGCATATTTGTTGGATGAGAGGTTCCTGGATGGTTGATTCGTTGCCAGGACACAGTTTCTCCTTGCTTATTCTTATCATTCTGGCCATCTCATCTCCATATTCAGTATCGAGCGTAGGTGGCGGCTGTGCATCTATGATGTCTGCAGTTGGTTGGAAATGCTTTTCGTGACACACCATCTCTCAACCATCACATAATAGCACTGACTTGACACAATTAATGTTGAAAATCCGAATCTTGTTCACGCTTTATGCTGAGTGCAGTGCAGTGTAGTGTAGTAGATCTACACACTGATTTCAGATTAATGCAGGGAGGCTCACCTTGCTGTTTTCCTGATTCTGGCTTCGACATGCTCATCTGAGCGTGTACCGCCTGTAGTTGAAACGATGCTGTCTAGGCAGGTAGGTGAAACAAACAACTTCGTTTAGATTTCTCCCAGTGACGGTGATTGATGCTTGTTGTTTGTGGTGGTAATTGGGTATCTTCATCACCTCTGTCTTCTCTACGTTCACTTGAAGGAAGTCGCATCATCGCTGCCTCGTCTCTTCTGCCAACTTGTTGGATTTTTGCCCGTAAACCTTCGAGCTTGTATGAATGAATTATCATTTTCATACAGACATGTTTTTAGGTGATTTTTTCCTTAAATTCAGCATTCAATCTATTTATACCTATTTTTTTTCAGTTTTATTTTGTTAAATCGACAAATTCTGTTTTATAATTTTTCATTTTTTTCATAAAGACAATGTCTAAGTCTGGCTTGATCAAAGGTCTATTTCAATGGATATGTCCAATGATACAAACCAATGCAATAAACTTACAAGATGGATATAAACAGGAAGAAAATTATTCAAATTTTCCTAAATACAACATAGTTAACCAAGATGAACATCAAAGAACCAGAGATTCACAATTGAAATATCATTCTATTCAAAATGTTGACTCTACTACTACTACTACTACTACTACTACTACTACTACTACTACTACTACTACTACTACTACTAATAATAATAATAATAATAATAATAATGACAATAATAATAATAATGGTTTATTATCTGATACAAAATTAGATGAGAAGAAGTTGGAAGTGTCGAAAATTATCAACACTAAAAACTCAAAGAGAATGAATAGTTCATTAGATAAGAAAGATAAATCCTTGGTATTATCTAAGTATGAAGTTGATCAATATGCTACAGATGAAGATAAACAAGATATTGATATATTACGTAAATGGCCACAAGCCTATTTAGAAGAGCTTCATTTGTATATGCTTGATGCATTAGGAATTATAGCACCACATTTATTAGATGATTGTATTATCTATGAAATTCCATCAAGATTGTTAATCTTGTTACAATGGTGTATTAATTCAGGTTAGTACATTAAATGAGGAGTTTATTATATAAAACGATTGTACTATAAGTGTTTAATATTCTTCAAAGTGTTTATGAATATACTAAGTGTCAACACCTTCAGTGGATCAACAAATTGAAAGATTTTTCAGAATATAAGTTAACAACCTTTGACGACGTCATCAGATGACGAAGATTATCTGAACAATGTGTGTATGAGTGTGATGTATTTCCACAATACAACATTTTGAACAATCTGATTCCCCAACACATTCACTTGTTTGAACTTCTGGATGAGTAGGGTTTCAGCTTCGGTTGTACCATGCGTTCACTTGTAAAACCTGTCCGTGAACACTACCCAACCTAGTTTGCTGGTAAAGGGAGAAGAGAAATGTATCTTCAGTTCAATAACAGAACACCTTGTGAACTCAGGCCACTTAGCTCCTTTCCAAAACTCATTCAAAATTCTCTACACGGTTCGATCAAACCACTCGAAGGGAGTAAGATGAAGACATTTGTCTATAACTGAAGCACTAACCATCGAGAAGTTCAAACCAGCGTTATGCGTGCGAAATAGGTACGTTCAACCTTTATCTTTACTATGGCCATCATAGAGCCTTGACTGGCATAGATTCACTTGTCTCAAGTCAATTTATGCATGAAAATGAATATCACAGACAGTCGAATAATGATCAATATGATAGTCCACCTCCTCTCTCTAATTCACTTACATTTGGATTCGGATGAGAAGTCTCGACTGGTGGACAGCCAATCTGAATACGACCAAGTAGTAGTAACGTATCATGAATTCATATGGTAGTTATCGGGCAAAACTTACGATGATTGAAGTGAAATAAAAATCTGGTCAGCAGCAGTCAGACCTCTTGATAGAGCATGAGGTCGCAAACCCGGTGGTCAGTGGTTGGAATCCGGCCGCGGTCCAAATTTTCATTCCACCTTCAATCATCACCCAGTATGAATAATGAAAAGGTTGTGACACTCTTCTCGATAGTATAATCAGATTACCATGAATTAACAAAGTAAACAAGGTGAAACAACAAATTGTGTTTGCACACACAACGGAGGTTCAAGTTTACGAATGGCTACACACAATTCAGAGTACCATGTAAAGAATAGGTGAATAGAAAAAGACCAGTATCGAAGTATACTAGAAGTAATCTGGCAACTGCTTCAACCACAAACCTTTATCAACCTCATTCAACAACTATATGACGATGCCACATGCCAAGTAATTCACAACGGGAAGCCTTCGGAGTGAGAACAGGAGTAAGACAAAGCTTCCAAATATCACCCATGATCTTCCTGATTGTGGTGAACTGGATCATGCAACAAACAGTGATGAGCGGGAAGAGGGGATACGATGGATCACAGAAAAGCACCTAGAAGATTTGAATTTCACCAATGATTGGTGTGTAATATCTTGTAGCACAAACTCGAAGATCTACAGACGAAAACCAACAAGTTGACAGAATAGGCGAGGTAGGGCAGCGAAGACGGGACTTCCGTCAAGTGAATGTAGAAAAGATAGAGGTGATGAAGATAGCCAACCAACAACAGCAACAACAAGCTCCAATCACCATCAATGGGAGAAACATAAAGGAAGTAGGCTCTTTCACCTACCAACCTAGACAGCATCCTCTCAACTACAGGCGGCACAGGCACAGACGAGAACGTCAAAGCCAGACAGGATCTGAAAGACAGCAAGACAGGCGTTGATTAACCTGAAACCAGTGTGGCGATCTTCTGCACTGCACTCACCATAAAGCGTGAACAACATCCTGTTTTTCAACACTAATTCAGTCAAGTCAGTGCTGCTACATGGTTCAGGGACTTGGAGGGTTATGAAAGGGATTTCCAACGAACTACAGATATTCATCAACAGCTGCAGTCTATGCTGGCTCGTTACTGAAGATCAGATGGCCAGAATAATAAGAATAAGCAACAAGGAACTCTGGCTAGCTAGCAATGAACGAACTGAGAACCTATCACTGAAGAAGTATGCAGTGGGAGGAAGTGGAGATGGATTGGATTGGCATGCCCTGAGAAGACCGACTGGGGACATCACGCGCCAGACCATGTCCCGAGTGGAAGCCAGATGAGTAGCCACGAGTTGGGCGTCCGAGGTTGACATGGAGGAGATGGTGTGAGGAAGAAATGAGAGCTTGTGGGTAGTCGTGGAGCCAAGTTGAAAAGATTGGAGTCTGCTTGAACTTCAGCCTACGAAACATTCTTCATCGAATATATTACATCAAATTTTCTCATCTCATCTTTTCCTGATCATTCAAGTATGTTCAGACTGAGTTTTTTTTTACATAAAGAACGTTTCTTTGTGCACGTATATTTATCATATGCTACTTTAAGTCAGTGTTAAAATAATCCTAACATATCTAGAAAACCAAAAACAAGATTTTTCTCAACGTTTCACTGTGTATGCAACAGCTTCTTGAGTAGAATACTGACTTAGCACTCAAATTCTTTCAGAACGCGTTACTTTGCCTGACTTACTGTAAGTTGATTGGTCTTTTGGTAAGTGTGTAGGCGTGTCTTGAAGCTGATTGATTGTCGTCCAGTGTCATATAATTACTCTGTGGAAACTATGGGCAAGAAATCAACCAATCAGATTTGAAGAACGCCCACACATTCTTCAAGGAACCAATCAGGTTGCTTTCAGGTAAGGTAGCAAGTTATAAATCTACGCAGATTAGATATACCGATGTTGATGTCTAGCCTAAAAGTTAAAGGCCCATCAACTAAAACCTTAGCTTACAGAACAACCCATTCATAGAACCCTTATGTATTCGCTACAATTTAAATGTCTTCAAGTTGTATTGCGTACTTTCACGCATTTTTGACAAGTTTTCAGCCTATAGTTTTGCTAGCTAACAATAAAATTAATAGGAAACATCAGAATAGACGGCAACAGACCCTTGATTGGATGACAGTGCACCATATGATAACTCATAGGATAGTTAACACAAACTGAACACTCACGTGCCAACTGAGTTATTATTATTATTATTATTATAGTATATTTGTAATGGCACTGATGCGCACACAAGTATGTAAGATTGGTCAGTCATAAGTTTTCTAATCTGGGGATTCTTCAACTTGTCAATTAACATATGACATTTGTTTGTTTCACTTTGTCCGTATGATAGAACCATTTCTAGGACAAGGGAACAGTTTTCATGGTGCTGGCGGTAGAAATAGTAAACGAGCACAATTACGTTATTCACTACGCTTAATCAGAAGTCTTGTAGAAACAAATGATGAACGTATTATCCTAGTAAGTTGTTACAGTTGAATAAATTTATCAAGAGATTGATTCTTTTGTATAATTTTCTGTTATGTTTATGATTATTCATATGCGATAAAATGTTCCCGATTATTTACATGTGACTCGAATTATCCAAAGTCTCACTCCAGTGTTCGCCTTAGGTCCAAGTTCTAGGCTGGTCTTCAGATCTGTGGACATTTCAAAGCACACAACTGGTAGATCGATCTCTTCACCAAGCAGAAAATATCCAATCAACGTATCCAGATGTGAATGAACACGTCTGTTTGAACTAATCATTATTATCCTGGGACCCCCTCAGCTATCAGGCTTCCACTCATCAACATTTGCCAGGTATTCGGTTCTTTGACCGTACTTACCTCCCAGTTTACAGACTTTCATGAAAAAGCATCTCAGCAAAATCTCCATAAGCTTACGGACCTAAGTACAGCTTTCCTTATCGAAAAGACATTCCTCTACCATGTCCTGGCCTGTGAACCAGTAATGCTGACACATTCACAATAGTGGCTCCCTTCTGATTAGTGAAATTCACCCAAGCCTAGGGCTAATGACACATTCATTCCGGACTGAATATTGTTTGCCTTCGCAAAGTAAACTACATCCATCTCTGGAGATAACAAGTGAATTTTGGAGACACACACCACTGATCTTGTGCATATGGATCTCTACGGCTGTAGTTTTTACTAAGTCAACTTGACGATGTGTTATCTGATACTCAGTGAGGAAATGACAACTCTCAGAGTCGTAGGTAAATAGGCTCGACTTGTTTTAACATGCCGCGTAGAGTTTCTGCACACTGACACAGGATGTAAATATGGGGCGGATTTATACTTTCAATATATAACGGGGTAATCATACAGTTCACTCTGAAATTCCTGACTGACGTTTACGCGAGAACATTTAAATAGTAGGTGTGTATATGCCAGTTAGATAATGCGTGGGTAAAGCTGAACGTCTTCATACCCTCTTAACAGCTTACGTGATAATTCATCAATGAACTTTGGGTTTTGTATACCTTGATACTGTGCAAAAGTGATGCTTGACGAGTCAAGTTTCATCTGTCTGTCTAACAGACAGATTCACTCAACCGATATTTTTTCAGATTCTAATTAATGGCCTAAATGAAAGTAGCCTACAAGACTCTTCCTTCTTTGTTATGAAACCATAACTGAGGAAGATAACAGGTCGTCAAGGGTACAGTTTACTTGTTTTTCTTTCTTGGAAATCTCGGTTAATATCTTATTTAACTTTCTAAGGAGATTTTTCACTTAAGAACGATTCTTAAGAATTTATCCATTCAGTAAGTTTAGGAATGTCCTTCGATTACGAAATTTGTTGGCTATTGGAATGTAGAGATGTCTAATAATTTTAATGTACCTGGTTTTTTATGATAATTTGGTTGGTTGTGGCTAGCAGAAGAATCCAGGACTCACGTTTCGTCCTATTTGGGACTCACCAGCTGGATGTACCTGCACCTCCTGGATGTTGTTCCCACTGAGACTCGAATCTTGTACCATCGCTTCAAACGCCGAGGCGTTATCCACTGTGCCACGAAGGAACGCTAGCCACTTCCTGTACAACTGATAGTAGTTATCACTACTTACTGACATACTTGTTATTCTCCGTTGTTTGTTGTGTCGGATCGAATTGTTCGACCTCTCTTTGCATATGGGCTCCTATGCGGATGCCTTAATGTTGCCTGAATGTTAATTATGATAATTTAGTTGGTTGTGGCTGGCGGAAGAATCCAGGAGAATAACAAGTATGTCAATAAATAGTAATAACTGGTTTTTAGTAATAAGAACCGCCAATAAAGAAGATGAAATCAAGGTCTCTTCTTACAAATTATGACATGTATTATTCTGCGTAGCAATCGTATTGCCACAGCAGCCGGTATCGTAGATGTAGAGGATCCAGGTATCGGACCTGGACGAAGATGCATCTATCATCCTGTAGTACGACAGTCAAAACGTGCCTTATTTGTTGATTTAAAAACGGCATTTGACTCTGTCGACTGAGAGATGTTGTGGAAGTGTCTGACGGTGAAGAGAATATCAATGCAATATATACAGCTAATGAGATTTGTCTACTCGTACTCACACAGCCATGTCTGGGCTTATGTATAATTGTCAACAGAACTGATGATAAATAGTGGTGTTCATCAAGAACACTCATTGTCACCCGTCCTATTTCACTTCATCATAGACGTTTTAATGGAAATAACCTTCGTTACACCTGACTTCACAGGAATTGGCCTTCTACCTGGAGGTCATCTTGTTGACTTTCAGTGTGCAGACGATATTGTCGTGCTACGTGAAGACACTGACAAAATGTAGAGACTTCGAAACACGTTGAGATGCCTTTCGCTGGCACTTTTCAAATGTAAGATAAAGCACCAGGACTGGTCTAAACCAATTCTCAGTTTAAGGATGCAAAGTTAAGTAGTAGAATCCATCAACCACTTCACCTACTTGGGAAGTTGTATCGGTTCAAACAGGTTGGTTGTTGACGAAATCTTAGTTCGAATACAGAAGGCTCGTTTGTCATTTGCTAACTTGTGTCACATGTGGCGCCAACTGGCGAGATATCCGACTGCCTATCAAAGGGTAAGTATACTGTGCTAAAGTCTGCTTTGTCCTTTTGTCCGGCTGTGAGATATGGCCATGAGAAGTAGAAGACATGAAGCGATTTTAGGTTCCGATCCCAGATGTCTTCATGGTGGTGGTGTGGAATCAGCATGTGAACAATGTTGAAATGAGGGAAAGAGTACTAGGCAAGATAGTCAAGTAGATTGGTGAGGTTGTCAACCACCATCGATTGAAATGGCTTGGGTACGTACTACGCATGCCGAGCCACCACCTACTCCAACATCCAATGCTAGAGGGAACTTGATTAGTTCGGGAAAGGGTTCAAGATGGTCCAACCAAGACTTGACGTCAGTCAATGAAGTCTCTGACTGTTGGTAAGAGTGTTATGGGGAGATGTAAATCCGCTGGTTGGCATCTCTAAGACGATAGGAATCAGTGGTTGAGAAGTCTTAGCTGAAAATCGATCACAGTGGCGAAGATGTATATTCACTTCTTCCCGTCCTTTCACACTAATCTTTGTTTATTCTCTCACACTACTTTATCTACTCTGATATCACTCCTTTTCTATCCACTTGTTCTTTGTGTCCTGTAGTGGAGTGTGAGAACCCGAATCGACTCAATTGTGTATGTGTATAAAGTGGTTCTACGTTGATTTCATGTTTGTAAAGCTGAACAGTTTGTTGTTCTAGGTAGTTAATCAATAGTGTCAGACTAATTTATGAAGTTAATCATTGTAGATTATGAAATTAGAGAAGGGCATTACCTAGAGCTTCATCAGAATACATTACTGAGGAAACATGCAGACAATGGAGACTTTTACTAGGCATATTCTGTTTCTAGAAATCTGATTCATGCATCAAAGTAACCAAACAGGAATATTAGATATGTTTAGCCAACTTTGATGGGAAGTGGTGTACAGTATATTACATGATCAGTGAAAAAGAACCTATTTCATGTTGTCTATCGGTCATTTTGCAATGTGTCCATCAGACTAGGCGATTCATCATTGTGATAAACTTCAATTGATATGAACTGGTTAAAGCCAAGCCTAGATGCATGTCAACAGTCATCATCGAGAAGGCTAAGCTCAGCTGAGACGAAAGCAATCGAGAAAGGACAAAACTTTAACATGATAACAGGTCATCTGAAACCAGAAGATGTCATACCTAAGATAGAAGTAGCATTAAGCTCAGTGTATGCAGCAACTGCTGAACAGGTTAGAGTACAGTGTGAGTTAACACTGAAAAGACAAAAGAAGAGACAATGTAACTTAATGAAACTTGAAAATTCAGCTCTGGATAATCTATGGAAATCTACAGCTGATCTGATACGCCGACTGAAACCATCTCTAGGTGAATCTGAACGGTTTAATTTAATGCCTAAAACTAATAATCTTAGCAGAATTTATGGCACTATTAAGGTCCATAAACCAGGTTATCCCATTAGACCTATAGTTGACTTCAGAAGTATCCTAACATACGAACTAGCAAAGTACTCAGCATCGATATTATGCCGTATTAGGTACAGTTCAAATTCCAGACTTAGGCTTAACCACCTACATATAGAAGAGGATTAAAAAAATGGTTAGCTTCGATGTAACTAGTTTGTATATTAAAATACCAATCAATATGGTACTGGAGGCAGTCAGAAGTCAACTAAATATTGACTCAGAAGTTAATCAGAGAACAAAGATATCGGCTGATGAGAGCATATTAGGCGTACAGTTCTGCCTGACCTTCACAGTCTTCAAGTTTCACGACGAAATATGCAGATAAACAGAAGGAGTAGCAATGGGATCGCCAATATCCCTAATCGTAGCAGATATAGTTATGAATAGTTGGGAAAACATGGCTTTACAAACGTTTAATCCTACACCAAAAATATGGTGGCGATGTGTGGATGACACATTCACTACTGTGTTGAAATCGGAACATATCGACAATTTTCTCACACATATAAACTCAGTAGTAAACGCAATCCAATTCGCTTACGACAAGATAGAATATGAACAAAGAGAATTACCTGTGTTGGATTGCAGAATAAAATGAAGAACAGACGGTGGCTTGGATACTGCTGTCTACAGAAAACCAACACATTCAGAAAGGTATCTAGACTTCAAATCATCCTATCCAATGTGAGTTAAGGTAGGATTAGTCAAATGTCTAAATGATAGAGCTAGAGAACTGACTAGTCATAGCAAGAACCTAATCAAGGAATTGAAACACGTAAAAGAAGTGTTAACAGTTAATAATTATCCTCTGCAGTTTACTCAGAAATTCTTATGGACACACGAAAGACGAAATAATAACAGTCACGCTAGTGCGACTAATAACGACGACACGAGTAAAAAAGAGTTCACAGCCTCCATTGTGTTACCCTATAAGAAGGGTACCTCAGAAACTACGTAGAATCCTCAACGGAGCTGGAATTAGGGTGGCATTCAAACCTATAAACTCACTCACAGATAAGCTTTGTCGGCTTAAGGATCCGATGGAACCAGTTCAGCAAAATAATCTAATCTATCAAATTTCATGTAATGACGACGAGTCAGGTCAAGTACATAGGTCAAGCTAGTCGGTCAGGGTCAGTTACATTAGTGCAACATAGGAATTTAGCTAAATATAGAATAACAGACCTAAATAAGATCAATAGTCTAGAAAAGCACTCGGCTATTGCTATGCATACATTAACACACAACCACACAATAGGGTGGGTGGGATAAAGCCACTATACTGAAGTCCAATATAGTTAAGTGGAGAGAGAGGGAGATTGATTACTGAATCACTGTTCATTGAATCAGCCAACACCCAACATATGTAATGGAAATGACACAACATACGTATACCAGAGATATGGGGAATTTCGCTACCAATAAAAACAACTCACAAGAAGTGACATAACTACAAAAATTAGATGTCGAAATTGGAGTGTGATTACATTGAGGTATGATTATGAGTAATGAGTGATTTATGCTCGAAACGTGGTCATCAAGTAAATAATACTAGGACACTCACTGTGTGTTATAAATCAAATAAACAAATCTAATATGGAATTAAATTCTACCACAGTGACCAAGTTTTACACCTATATTAATAGTCATCACTAAGGCATATTTACATCCTCGTTGGGACTGATATCCCTTATGAGATTGGAACCTGCGTTACTCAGTCAGAGACGTAACCACTGAGTTAAACGCGGTGCAGCTAACCTCCTGTAGGGTTAAATTAGATATACTGATTTTGAAATGATGGAGAATATTTTTAGCTCAGGTGGATAGTCTTGGTTGTATTGTGTTCTCTGAGTTGGGCGATAGAAGCTTCACGATTAAACAACCCAACTCAGAGAACACAATACAACCAAGGTATAGTGATTGTCAACTGGAGAGTAGTCAATTTCATGTTGTGTAATGTTGAATACTAATGGAATTCTGTCGATTATTTTGTACTGGTATGAATCTAATACTTTTACACATACTATGATACAAGTTCAATGAATATTTAACATAGTAAAGACACACAGTTACTTAAAATTGAAAATGATAACCATGATCTCAGTAGTAGAACTAGTTTCCAATGAATAAATTATGTTACAGAGATAAAACTATGTTTAACTTCTACAGTTTTCAAATTGTAAGACAAAATATACTTAAACATTCAAAAGGAGTATCGATGAAATCTTCAGTATCCACTAATCGTAGCAGATTTATTAATGGACAGTTGAAAAGAAATAGCATTAGGAACTTGTTAGTTTTCGCCTGTACATCTTCGAGTTTGTGCGACATAAGATGTTAGATACAAATGGTCATGAGTGAAGTGCAAATCTCCTACTGTCTTTTCATCCGTCAAACAGCCAGCCTATGCCCATCTTCTCTCCCCTCACAGTTGTCGGTTGCATGATCCAGTCGAGTCAAGTCGAGTGGATTCGACCACAGTGAGGAAGATGATTGGTGATAGTAGGCGGTAATCTTGTCTTACCTGTCAACCTGTCTTCACTTCACTTCAACGCACCACTGAGCTTTTCATTGTGAATCACTTGGTATATGGCGTCTTCATATAGCTATTGAATGAGGTTGATGAAGGTTTGTGTCACTAAAATTGTAGTGTTGAAGCAGTTTCCAAATTAGTTCTTGGTCGACGCTATCGAAGGCCTTTTCAAAGTCGATGAAGTTGATGTACAGAAGGAGTTGACTTCTATTCTATGCTTTGTTATATGCTGATGTGTAGCGTTACAATTTCATCCGCACTTGATTTGTTCTTCCTGAAGACAGCCTGTTCCGTTCGCAATTTCGAATCCAGAGCATCTGTTACTCTCTTCAGGATGGTGCGGTTCAATATTTTGCTTTGGGTCGACAGGAGCAAGATTCCTTGCCGGTTCTTGCAAAGTTTTAGGTCGCCCTTCTTTCGGAGTTTGACAAGGTATCCCTAACTCCAAACGGTAGGTATCTTTCCTTCCCTCCTTCTTTGCAAACCTTCTGCAACAGTGGTGTGAGCATATCTACTGTTGTTTCCGTGTCTGTTTTCAGTGTCTTTGGAGGAATTCCATCTCGTCCTGCTGATTTCCCGGATATCAGCAACTTTATGATCTTCAGGACTTCTGCTTTTGTTGGACTGTTTGTGTTCATTGATAGTTCTGTGAGTGAGTTACTAGTGGTATTTCTCGACCAGTTACAGGCGATGGTGGCGGTCGATCCAAGAGTCTTTTGAAGTGGTCAGCCCATTGTTTCTTTTTCCTCTCTTCTTTGGTCGTAACTAGCTTTCCCTTACCATCTTTCATTGGTTTCATCTGCGTTGATCTCTTCCCAGATGGTAATCTGGTTATTTGATAAAAAGTTATCAGGTCTCTCCTACCTGTTGATGCATGGATGATACTTTATCAGTATTTGATAGGTGAATGTGTATTAATTCTATTCTGAACCATCTCAACAGTGCTGCTCATCCATCAATTCATGTTACACTATTATATTATTATTATTTATCCCTTTGGTTCCCAATGGAACATAGGGCTTCAGTAGCATGTCTCCATTCCACTCTCTTCTCTCAAATCTTTGAAACATGCTTCCACGACAGCCCAGAAGCTTTCATTTCTTCCTCGCATGATCTCCTCAATATCACCCTAGCCTCAGCCGCCCAGCTCGTCATTTCCCATCTGGGTTCCAATTGAGTGCCTGGTCTGGTGCATGATGTCCCCAATCAACCTTCTCAGTGTATGCCTAATTCAATCCATCTTCACTTCCTTCTGCATATTTGTTGAGTGATAGGTTCTTGCTTAGTTAGTTCGCTCCGAGAGTTCCCTGTTGCTTATTCTTTCTGGCCATCTGATAATGAGAATTATACATAGAAAACTAACTTTTAAGGCACAGTATGCTCACTTTTTCAGTTTCTTACCGATGAAATACAAACGTAATGTAATCAGCTGCCTGACTTTTAGAGTAGGATCGACATGTTCCATTCAGTGGGTGAGAGAAGAACAGTTGATAAGTTGTTCAAGACTAACATTCGCTAAAGTGATCTTAAACAAGAACTGATGACGGTAGAGAAGAAGCCTTTGTTGCCATGCTTACAGTTCAAGAGAGATGTTGCAAGTGACATTTTATCACAACGCCTAGCTATAGTGGTCGCTAGGAAGCTATATTCAGGTCGGCTGTGCTCAGTTTGAGACTGAAGGATAACCTGCCTAATCTTAGCTCTTCCTCTTGCATATATCAGTTTAATTGTTCCTGTGGAAGTTACATAGTGCACATGACAGCATTTACAAACTCTGTTCGGAAAGGGAGAAGTGGAACTGGTGAAAGGTTAGGGTTAGGTCATCTAGTTGACATAGAGTATCACATAGATGCTTTCAATATCATTCATCATGTTCCAAAAAACGATACCATATGTGGGTCACCAACGCTTACTCAACATAATGGAGGCTGTCGCAATAAGATTTATCAAGCCTGAACTCTGAATTCAGAATGAACATGTCCAAGCGTTAATTCTCCCTTAGCCTTCAAGAAACTAAAAACCATTCACCATCATGTTGTTCTTCGGTATATTAATCATCTCAATATTGACTAATTTAAAACAGATAAATCAATTTCCTAACAGTCCCTAGATGTCGTTGCCTTTTGAAAATGTAACTGCCCCTAACATGGCTTGCTTTTACGCTGTACAAATGCATATTGTAATTGTAGAACCTGAAGAGAATATTCATTGAAAAGAATATTCTTCGTTGTTCAAATTGTTGGTTTTTATCTTAGTATGTAGCAGTGAATTGTAAGACGCGTATTTTTTCCAGTTCGGGAGGTCCAACAATTTGACTGAATATACCAGTATGGAGATCTTCTGTACTCAGCATGTGGAAAAAGAACCGGATTTTCAACACCAACGTCGAATCAGTGCTTCTGTATGGCAAAGAGACTTGGTGCCTTACGAAAGGGATTTTCAACAAACTACAGACATTCACCAACAACTGCCTACGCTCGTTACTGAAGATCAGATGGATAACCGGAAAGAATAAGCAACAAGGAACTCTCGGAGTGAACCAACTAAGCAAGAACCTATCACTCAACAAATATGCAGAAGGAAGTGAAGATGGATTGAATTAGGCATACACTGAGAAGGTTGATTGGGGACATCATGCACCAGACCAGGCACTCAATTGGAACCCAGATGGGAAACGATGAGCTGGGCGGCTGAGGCTAGGGTGATATTGAGGAGATCATGCGAGGAAGAAATGAAAGCTTCTGGGCTGTCGTGGAAGCATGTTTCAAAGATTTGAGAGAAGAGAGTGGAATGGAGACATGCTACTGAAGCCCTATGTTCCATTGGGAACCAAAGGGATAAATAATAATATAGTAATACCAACGGGTATACTCAGCTGATGAGTTCTAAATAGAATGATATTCGCCCTCTCAATTCACCTACCAATCATTAAATAGGCTATAATGTTATTGATTTTCAATCATTTTTTTTATTATCTTTATCTAATTTGTGTTGTTTTTTTTAAAAGGATTTTGTCTGTCATGGTCTAATTCAATTGTTAACACCGATAATTTATTCAATATCTTCAAAAATGAGATCTGATCAACCACATAATGAATTATTAAAACTTAATAATCAAATGGTAACAAGACAATATCGTATTCAAGAAGATACTACTGAAATACTCAATTCAGGATGTTATCAAAATGAACAGAAAAATGTTATAAATATACAAGAGAATATGGAAGAAGATATGATAGGATTAGAAATGCAATGTGATGTACTGTTAATATTATCGAAACTCTGTGGAAATGTACCTGAAAGGTAATTTATTTATTAGAAAAAGATGTATCAGGCTTCACTTACTTCATTACAATTAGCTTAATATACATATAATAAGGTAAATCAATCATGTAGATTTATCAGTTACCGGGATAAATGTCGTAAGAATAATGAAGGTGATAATGGTACAAATGATAAAAGTGATAAGGTTGACTAAAGCACAAGCAATATTATTGTTATTTATCCCTTAGGTTCCTAATAGAACATAGGGTTTCAGCAGAACGTCTCCATTCCACTCTCTTCTCCAAAGTCGTTTGAACCTGCCACCACGACTGACCACAAGCTCTCATTTCTTCCTCACATCATCTCCTCCGTGTCATCCTCAGCTGGGACGCCTAACTCGTCGTTTCCCATTCGCGGTCCATTCAACGGTCTGCGCATAATGTCTCCAGTCGACCTTCTCAGTGCATGCCCAATCCATCTCCATTTTCTTCCAGTGCATATTTGTTGCGTGATAGGTTCTTGCTCAGTTGGTTAGTTGGCAGAGTTCCTCCTTTCTTATTCTTATTATTCTGGCCATCTCATCTCCATATTCAGTATCGAGTGAGCGTAGGTGGCAGTTGTTGATGAATGTCTGTAGTTTGTTGGAAGTGCCGCTTTTCGTGACACACCAAATTTCTCAACCATATAGCAACGCTGACTTGATTGAAATGGTGTTGAAAATCCGGATCTTGTTCACGCTTTGTGTTGAGTACAACAGATCTCCACACTGATCTCAAATTAATGGAATAACGCCTGTCTTGCTTTTTCGATTCTGGCTGGCTTTGACATCTTCGTGTGTGCCTGGGTCGGCTGTAGTTGGAACGGTGCTGCTCAGGGTAGGTAGGTAGATGAAAGAGACTACTTCCTTAAGGTATATATTTCCTACGTGTACCAGTTCACAGTATAGCGCGACTTTCATCCAATTTGGTCGTTGGGTAACTGTCGTCATGTTCTACTTGGGTAGCCTCACAGTTTATGATTTCTCATTGTATATTCGGGAACCACTTCTCGAAGCTGAGTCACTAATGAGCACCAGTTCAATTGAAGTTCTAATGAGAAGTCGTGACCGTTTGGGGTAAAGCCCGATGGTCGTGAGTACAGTTACTCAACGATGATATTGCGTGGCGGTTGCGCTAGCTCTTTACACTGATTTCAGGTTAATGTAGGAAAGCTTGTCTTGCTGTCTTTTTGATCCTGGCTGACTTTCACATCTTCATTTGTGCCTGTCCAGCCACCTGTATTTGAGACGACGCTGCCTAGGTGGGTAAGTAGGTGAAAAAGACAACTTCGTTTAGATTCCTCACGTTCATGGTGATTGGTGCTTGTTGTTGCTGCTGTTGGTTGGGTATGTTCATCACCTGTGTCTTCTCCACGTTCACGTGAAGGTAGTCCCGTCTTCCTCAGCTAACCTGCTTCACCTCGCCTCACCTCACCTCACCTCAACTCACCTCACCTCTTCTGCCAACTTGTTACTTTTCGTCTGTACATCTTCGAGTTTGTGCGACATAAGATGTTAGATACAAATGGTTATGGGTGAAGTGCAAATCTCCTACTGTCTTTTCATCGGTCAAACAGCCAGCCTATGCCCATCTTCTCTCCTCTCACAGTTGTCGGTTGCATGATCCAGTTGAGTCAAGTCGAGTGGATTCGACCACAGTGAGGAAGATGATTGGTGATAGTAGGCGGTAATCTTGTCTTACCTGTCAACCTGTCTTCACTTCACTCTTCATTTAGCTGTTGAATGAGGTTGATAAAGGTTTATGTCACTAAAAACGTAGTGTTGAACCAGTTTCCAAATTACTTCATGGTCAACGCTGTCGAAGGATTTTTGAAAGTAGATGAAGTTTTGGTACAGGTACAGTTGACTTCCATTCTTTGCTCTGTTCTGTTATGATGCTGATCGTTTGTAACCTCCGTCGGTTTCATATACAAAATGAAAAAGTTTACGAGCTGACAATCTAAAAAGTCAAGGAGATTTTCAACGATTCAAAAGCTTATCTATCTAGTTCTCATAAATGACTATTCAATGCACAATAGTGAATCCACTTTGTTTTATTATATCAATGTTGTATTTCTTACCTATCATCTTGTCTTTAGGAAACAGATGATTGGTACAGATGGTATTAATTCAATAATTAAATTACTTAAACAATTATCCAATCGATTTGCTACAATTGAATCTGTTCAATATCGTTTATTAACTCAACCAAACAATAAACTATCCTATTTACCATCAACTGAATTGGGGATGTTACATCGTGAACCATTAATCGAATTGGCACATGCTCTAATTGAAGCAATATGGTGTTGTATAATTGGTTCTAATAATTGTGAAGATTATTTTTTAATGAAAAATGGAGCAACATACTTGCTTAATTTATTAGAGGTAAGAGGAATAATCGACTGATCATCCTTTATTTGATCCCGTTAACTGTTTTGATTACATTTCAGATCATACTACTACTTAAATCTTTTCAGTAGACTCATCCCATATGCCTTATTATTATTTGTCCCTTGGGTTCCTAGTCGAACATAGGGATTCACTAGCACGTCTCCATTCAACTCTCTTCTCTGCAATCTTTTCAACCTCACTCCGAAATTCTCCGCAAGCTCTCATTTCTTCCTCACATCATCTCCTCCATGTCACCCTCACCTCAAACGCCCAACTCGCCGTTTCCCATCTAGGTTTCACTCGAGTGCCTGGTCTGAAGCGTGAGGTCCCCAAATGGTCTTCTCAGTGTATACCCAATCCATCTCCACTTCCTTCTGCATATTTGTTCAGCGATGGGTTCTCGCTTCTTTGGTTCGTCTCCAGCCAACCAGAGTTCCTTCTTGATTATTCTTATTATTCTGGCCATTTGAGCTTCAGTAAGGAGTCAGTATGGGCAGTTGTTGATGAATATCTGTAGTTTGTTGGAAATGCTTTTCGTGACACGCTAAGTCTCTCAAGCATCACATAGAAGCACTGACCTACTTGACTGAGTTGGTGTTGAAAATCCGGATGTTGTTCACGCTGAATGCTGAGTGCTGTAGATCTCCACACTGGTTTCAGGTTAATGAACGCCTGTCTTGCTGTCTTACGATCCTGGTTTTGACGTCCTTGTCTGTGTCGCCTGTAGTTGAAACGGTTCTGCCCACACAGATGAAAGAGGTTACTTTCTTTAAGATTCTCCGATTGATGGTTATTGGTGCTTGTAGTTGGTGGTGGCGTTGTTTGGGCATGATCATCACCTCTGTCTTCTCTACTTTCTCCTGAAGGAAGTCCCGTTTTCGCTGGCCTGCCTCTTTTGCCAAATTGTTGGTTTTTACCCGTAGTTCTTCAAGACCATGCTTACAAAAAAGGTGAATTGCTCAACATTTGAATATTCACAATGACTCCTTTCTCCTTCAAAATCAGTTTTACCGATATCACTTATGCTGACTATTTGTGATAAAAAAGCTTTTGGTAACCGTTTGAAGAGATTTTTTAGTTGCATAAAATATTTTGTTTTCAAATATTTTCTTTTCATGTTACTAAGTCAAGTGGTAAACAGTGTTGTTTGTTAAGGACTTAATACATTTTCTAGTTACGACCTGAAATGTTACCCATTTTTGTCATTCAACAAACCTACTGTTAGTTATTTGTATATGAGAGTGAATAATAACTTCCATCGTTGATGATTGCTCGGTTCATCCGTGAGTTGAAATCGTGGATCTTAGAAGTTATGACGTATACTAAAACACACCATGTAGACAGAACTTCAATTTTAATTCACATAAACCGAAAATTTCAACCGCTCAAGTCGATATCAATTACACGATATAAAAGTGCTTGTATTCTCACTAGCAATGTCACAGTAGAAAATAGGCGATCGTTGGTGAGAAATCTCACTATAGTCTCCTTTCTATAGAAGTGTAAATATTCATACAGTTTAATGTTGCCTCCTCGTCAATACAACTGGTATCAAGATGGTGAGCATGAAGCTCTGCATGTCATAGGAATCATCACTGCCTTGTAACCAGACCAAGGTGATCTGAACGCCGAACGCACGTTTTGCCAATTTACAGCCAAGCTCATCAGTGTTATACCCAAACTGATACAACTCACAAAGCAAAATATTTCGAACCATCCGGATATCACTTAGATAAGTGATTAGACTGCTCAGTCATAAAAACGTCGAAAAAAGGATAACCAATCGGGATTGTAATATCATTCATAGTAGCATAGAACAGAGAAAATCTGTCCCATTGCTGTGATTCACTAATACACGTAAATTATCCCTAGAAAAAAATAATATAAAGCAACCTGATTGGTCAACAACCGGAACAAGCTGGTTGGATTCAAGAAAAACAAATCATGCATGCATCGAATTGCTACGCTACACTGTGCATGATCATAGAACAAAGCATTGAATAGATGTGACTTCTTCTGTACCTCAACATCATCGACATTCAAAACGCCTTTAACAGTGTCGATCAAGAAGTAATTTGAAAACTGCTTCAACACTACAGTTTTACTGACACATACTATCATCAACCTCATTAATATAAGAGTATAACCTGGACACTGTGGTCGATTGTAATTCCATCTTAGTTTGTTTATTAGAAATATCACATTGAAAGGACAGTAGCATTTACTGGATAACAACTTTTCGGACACAATTTATTGTCCATATTCATACCAGGTAACTGACTCCACAACTTCGAGACAGTCTTTACATATTCCTAATTTTCTCTTCTTCTCTGTGATGATAAGGGTAGTAGAATTTTCCATATATCTGGGATAGGTGCACCACCATTTAGATTGCCGCATGTATTTGGTGTAGATTCGATAAACAAAAATTCGGTTATCAATCTTTCCCTCCACCTCCACCCAACTAAGTTAGTTTTCAACACTGTCGCCCTATCCCACCCTACTGTGTGATTGATTGTGTGTCATCGCATGCAGAGCGATGACCAGGCGAGCTTTTCTCTAGATTTCTTATCTTATTAGGTAGGATCTACTAATTTTGATTTAGCTAAGTTGTTGTGCTTTGTTATTCTAATCGACCCTAGTCGACTGTTTTGACCTATGTTCGTTATCCAGCAAATGCTACTGTTTCATTGTGTGATATTCCTAATAAACAGACTAAAATGGTATCATCAACCTCATTCAACATCTATACAACAAGTGATTCACACTAGAAAGCTGAGTGATGTCTTTGAAGTGAAGTGAAGACAGGTTGATAGGTAAGACAAGATTACCGCCTACTATCACCAATCATCTTCCTCACTGTAGTCGACTGCACTCTACTCAACTTGACTGGATCATGCAACCGACAACTGTGAGGGGAGAGAAGATGGGCATATACTAGCTGTTTGACGGATGAAAAGACAGTAGGAGATTTGCACTTCACCCATAACCATTTGTGTCTAACATCTTATGTCGCACAAACTCGAAGATGTACAGGCTAAAAGTAACAAGTTGGCAGAAGAGGTGAGCCGATGTGAAGCAGGTTAGCTGAGGAAGACGGGACTACCTTCATGTGAACGTGGAGAAGACACAGGTGATGAACATACCCAACGAATAACAACAATAATCACCATCAACGTGAGAAATCTAAGTGAAGTTGTCTTTTTCACCTACCTACCTACCTAGGCATCCAGGATCGAAAAGACAGCAACGCAGGCCTTCCTACATTAACCTGAAATCAGTGTAAAGATCCACTGCACTCCACTGAACAGCACTGCACTGCACTCAGCATGTGGAACTAGATCCGAATTTTCAACACTAATTCAGTCTAGTAATTTAATGCTTATAATTAGTAGCTGAGAGACTTTGCGTGTTACGAAAAGCATTTCCAACAAACTGTGGACATACATGAAGAACAGCCGCCTACGCTCGCACTATACTGAAGGTGGAGATCAGATGGCCAGAAGGAATAAGCAGCAATGAACTCTGACCTGGCAATGAACCAACCAATCAAGAACCTTTTGCTCAACAAATATCCAGAACGAGGTGAAGATGGATTGGATATGGATATCCGTCGTTAGATTATGTCATACCGTCGAGTAGAGGTCAATTGGGAAACGATGATTTAGGTGTCCGTGGGTGACATGGAGGAGATGACGTGAGGAAGAAATAGAGTCAGGTTGAAAAGATTGGAGAGAAGACAGTGAAATGGTGACGTGCAAGTGAATCCCTACATTCCTCTAGGAACCCAAAGGTCAGATAATAATAATAACAATCTGATTGGTCATCTAACTAGTGACTGGAATGGCCTTTGGATTCACTCCAAAACAACTTGATCACTTCTACTTGTTATATATGTTCGATAATCATGACATTTTCTTTTAAAGAGGTAATATTATCAAAAGTTTAAATTATTTTTAAAATTCTGCTTAAATGAATTGAAATTGTATCTTGTTGTATGTTTCATCAATAATTGAACATTGAAGAAGTGTATGTATCGTATCTCAAATTCAACTTTCTTGACTATTTGTCTATCTTTTACATTATCTGTCTGTCTATCTCTTTTTTTTGAATGTGTTATAGTGGTATCCACTTGAATCTGTCAATTATCTTCTGGGTTGTTTAGTCGATTTAACAGAGAACTATAAATGTCTATCATATTTATCATGTTGGTCTGGTATTCGTCCTCTTAACGAAACTGAAGATCATATTGATATATACAATCAAAGAAGACATTCAATGAATGATTTAGAATTAACTACATCATTATTAACAAAATCACCTGATTTAGTTGTTTCAACTAAACTACACAAAATCCTTACAAATACTAATAAAATTATCACTTCATATAATAATAATAATAATAATAGTATTAATAATGAAAATAAGGAAACAGTATTGATTAATAAAACAGAAGATAACCTAATTCCATATGATATAGACATAGAACAAGATTCAATTCATGTTTGGTTGAATGGACCAAGTTTAGCACAATTATTATGTTATATATGGAGATGGGAAGAGAAAAGAATGAAAGTAAGCGATGAAATAAGCAGGAATCGTAAGTGAAAGTGAATACTTATACAGTTATATATAGTGTTAACAATAATTATCATCATGAGTATACTTTACGGTTTAGTAACTAAATTACATTTATGATACTAGTTCACTTTTTGTGTTGTAATCTCACGTGGTTGAATATAAGCGCTCCGATGAAAGTCAAAGTCCTGAATGTTATAAAGCTACTGAAATACGGGAAAGCAGCAGGATTGGAAAAAGGTCTACCTTGTCAAACTCTCAAACGAATTGGTGAGGAATCATGCTGCTGTCCAAAACCAAACATAATATTTAGCCGCATCATACTGGAGAGACTAAAGGATGTGATGGATTCGAAAATGAGACCGAAGCAGGCTCGCTGGCTTCAGGAAGAACAAATCATGTGCACATCAAATTGCTACGCCACTCTACACGGCATCATAGAACAGAGTGTACAATGGCAGTCAACTCTCTACCTCAACTTCATCGACTTGGAAAAGGCCTTCGAAAGTGTCAACTGAGAAGTAATTTGGCAGTTGTTTCAACACTACGATCTTAGTCCCACAAACTGTTATCAACCTCATTCAACAGCTATATGACGACACCACATGCCGAGTGATCCACAATGGAAGGCTCAGGGACGCCTTTGAAGTGAATTCGGGAATAAGACAAGGCTGCCGCCTACTGTCACCGATGATCTTCCTGATTGTGGCCGACTGGATCATGCAGTAAACTGTGAGAAGCGAGAAGATGGGCAGTCAACTTTCTACCTCAACTTCATCGACTTTGAAAAGGCCTTCGAAAGTGTCAACTGAGAAGTAATTTGGCAGTCGTGAGAAGCGAGAAGATGGGCGTTAGCTGGCTGGACCGATGAAAAGATCCTAGGAGATTTGGATTTCGCCGATGACTTGTGTCTAATGTCTTGTGGCACAAACTGGAAGATGTACAGGCGAAAACTAACCAGTTGACAGAAGAGGTGAGGTAGGGCAGTGAAGACGGGACTTCAAGTGAATGTACAGAAGACAGAGATGATGAAGATACCCAACCAAAGCCACCACCAACAACAAGCTCAAATCACCATCAACAGGAGGAACTTAAAGAAAGTAGTCTCTTTCACCTACCCACTTATCTAGGGAGCACCGTTTCAACTACGGGCGACGGCACAGACGAGGACGTCAAAGCCATGATTGGAAAAGCAAGACAGGCATTCATTAACCTGAAACCAGCGTGGAGATCTATAGCACTCAGCATAAAGCATGAACGACATCCGGATTTTCAACATCAATTCAATCAAGTAAGTCAGTGCTTCTATGTGATGCTTGAGAGACTTGACGCGTCATGGGAAGTTTTCTTAACAAACTGCGGTCATGCATCACATCTGCAGCTGCCGTCTAGGCTCACTTGATACCGAAGATGGAGGTGAGATTACTAGAATAGTAAGTATAAGCAACAAGGAACTCTGGGAACTAACCAACTACGCAAGAACCTATTGCTCAAAAATATGCAGAAAGGTGTGGAGGTGGATTGGACATCCACTGAAAATGCCATTCGGGGACATCATGCGGCAGGCCAGGCACTCGAGTGAAACCCAGATGGGAAATGGCGTGTTGGGCGTCCGAAGATGATATGGAGGAGATCGTGTGAAGAAGAAATGAAAGGTGATGAGCAGTCGCGGAGTGAGGTTGAAAAGATTGCAGAGAAGAGAGTTGAATGGAGACGCGCTAGTGAATCCCTATGTTCGACTAGGAACCCAAGGGATAAATAGTAGTAATAATAATAAACGCATGTACTGTGCGTGAAACTTTAATGTGTATTACTGAAGTGACAGTGAAGTAAATTATCACTTGGTAACCAATTCTTAGATAAAATGCAGTCTTGAGAGATATTAGTCAAGCCTTAATTAAGTCAATGACGTAGTCTCTGAACCCAGCACTGTGTCAGACAGATAGACACTATCAGAATCAACATGTAACCTCGCACACAAAGTACGAGTAGCCACATTCCACAGTTGTATACAAAGAACAGGTGGACAGAAAAAGAGTGATGTTAAAGTAGACAGATTGTATGAGAGAATAAGTGTTGATGCAAACATACAAGATTTTAAAAAATGCTGCTCCACTGTCATCGACTTTCAGGAATGTCACCGAGATTCCTCAACCATTGATGCCCATCATCTTAGGGGACCCTGAACACCTGGTCTACATTTCCGCACATAGCTCTGACCAACAATAAGGTATTTTGTGAAAAGGTGCCATGTCTTAGCTAAGCCCTAGTTAACGCTTTTCTAGCGTAATGCAACTTCGTGTAAGACTGTACATCGAGAAAGGGGGTGGCTTGGCATGTGGAATACATGTCTAAATCATCTTAGCTGATGAAGGTTCAATATGCAATTTTACCATTGTTCTTGCTTGTAACCTGATAAAAAACTAATTGAAAAGGTCACTGTAAGGGCATCAGACAAAAAACCGAAATTTAATCAAGTTTTATGAATTGTCTAAACCGTCTAATGTAATTGATTCACTCGTTTTATATAATCAGTAGGAAGTTTTGGAAATAAGTTTCGCACTTGTCGGTATTCATCAGCTGAGTTTACTTGAAACTATGAAGAAACTGGTGTTCACTGGATGAGGGGAAACGAAGACAGTCGGTGTGGAAGTCATAGAATTCTCCATTTAGCTGTTCAAACCAAGACTCATTCTCTGTAGGACTGGGTTAGGGACATCATTCCCACCGAAGTTGCAGCTACCCTTGCTGAATAGTGCCAACAGACAAGAAACCAAGGTCCATAGCTTCTTTCCGATTGCCTCTATCCAACTAACTGAATTATGCCCATGAATTGGTCACGTGTGTGTAAACTGTGTTGAGCTGCTTCGTCTTTAGTACTGATGATGGTCGATTGACCGAAATATAGAGGAGTGTTGAGGTCAGGCGAAGACATGAAAAGCAAGTTGGTCTATTGGTAAGGTTGTGAACCTTCATCAGATGAGGTGGCTTTGAAATGCCTTGTGCATCCCGAACCATCGTCTACCTAGACATGTAATGTTAGGATAATTTGGATAAGGTTTCAGAGAAGTCAGACCAAGACCTGATATCAGTCAACGAAATCTCTACCTGTAAGAAGAGGTACACTACCACCAAACTGGGGTCCCCAACACGATAAGAATCAATGACTGAGAAGTTTTGGTGGAGCAGATATATATTCTGTCATACAATTATATTTAGTTTAATATCACTCCTTTTCTAGTCATCTGTTCTTTGTATACTACTCTTAAGTGTTACAATTCGGGTCGATGTACTTATGTACGAGGTTCTACGTTGGTTTTGTTTGCCTGTTTCTCTGAAATATTAGTATATCACAAAGCTGAGTCAATCCGCTTAGTGGTTACATGTTAAAACATGATCTATGAACTTAGCTCAAACATCAATTACCCAATGGTAACCATCTCATGAACATTTCTTACAGTCTGATCACACTGGTGACCATCATAAGTATTCATAGGAAAGATATTAAGAAGTTTAGAAGGGAGAATATGAAAACAATTGAAATGAAATTCCTTTCTTTCAGAAAGTAGTGATTGTTTCAAAATGCCTAATCTTATTAAGACCTAGCAGGTAGCCACATTGTCATTATTATTCCCTTGGGTTCCTAGGGGAACACAGAGCTCCAGCAGCGCGTCACCATTTCACTCTCTTCTCTCCAGTGTCCTCAACCTGTCTCCACAACTGCCCACAAGCTTTCATTTCTTCCTCTTTCCATCTCCATGTCACCCACGGACACCCAACTCGTCGTTTCTCATTTGCCTCCCACTCGACGGCCTGGCCTGATGAGTGATGTCCCCAAATGGTCTACTCAGTGCATGCCAATCCAATCCATCTCTACGTCCTTCTGCATATTTGTTGGACGATAGGTCCCGGATTGGTTGGTTCATTGCCAGACTTGAGTCCCTCCTTGCTTACTCTTATTCTTCTGCTCATCTCATCTCCATCTTCAGTATCGAGTGAGCGTAGGCGACAGCTGTTTATGTATGTCTGTAGTTTGTTGGAAATACTCTTCCTAAGGCGCCATTTCTCTCAACTATCGCATAGTAGCACTGTCCTGACTGAATTAGTGTTGAAAATGCGTATGTTGTTCACGCTTTACGCTGAGTGCAGTGCAGTAGATCTGCACACTTATTTCAGGTTAATGAAGGAAGGCCTAACTTGCCGTCTATCCGATCCTTGTTTTGACATCCTCGTTTATGCTGCCGCCTGTAGTTGAGATGATGCTGCCTAGGTGAATAGGTGAAAGAGACAACTTTCTTGGCTATACATTGAATCATAGTTAATTTATGTATTCTGGAATTCAAGCTGAATAAGTTGGAAAAAGAGTGAAGGTATATGATATAAGATTATGGGTTACACAACATGCAAAGAAACGACTTGTGTAAAGTTGAGTTGAAACCAGCAGGTGAATAAAGTGATCGATGATGCAAGGAGAGTAAAGGCTGAAACAACACTCATAAAACCGATAAAGGAATGATCAAACTCTCCTTCTGTATGCACAGGTTTCCTTGAAAACATTTGATAACAACTGCCTCTATGAAGTTTTGCATAGGTTTGGCATTTTCACATCAATTACGTATCTGGAGGTTGTAATTATCAAAAACTGATTCCAATCCAAGTATAACTAGTTCGGAATATATTCAGAAGTCAAAGGAATCTTATATCAGACATGGATTAAGGTGTAGAAGAACCGGTTTTTGATCCTACTCTTAACGCTTTGCCTATTCTTCTGGATACTGCATCTGCTTGATCCTTTTGATTTGCCATTGTCTTTCTGGATTTTATGGCTCGATCACTGTTTGCAGATGAGCTCCTAAGCCATAGTCTACGTGACAGTTGGTAGTTGAGTCCAAGATGCGGGTTCCGTCTTATATGGGACTCATCAGCCGCATGTACTTGGACTCTAGTGAGTAGTGCTGTTCCCACAGAGACTTAAACTTAGTGTCCATTGTTTCAAATGTCATTTTCACCCCCTAGCCATCAGACAGTTTGGTGTCTAGCTATTTCAGTTTCTCCTTCTTCATGCTATATGAATAATATCTTCGTGTATCTTTTCTTGTTGAGACACTTTTCAAGAATGCTTTTCTCATTTTTTCCATTTGTTCGATGAATGCCAGTTCTGAGCTTCTCTGCTAAACGATTTGACTAGTTGTTGCTTTTAGCCGATAGAAGAAAAACTACTGAGGTCAAGGTAATTTCTAATCTATATTTCTTTTCTACTGATAAAATCTACGATGTCATGATGACCTTGAAAATTATAAATTACATATTACTATTATTATTATTTTTCCCTTGAGTTCCTGGTGGGACATAGCGCTTCAATAGCACGCCTGCATTCCACTCTGTTCTCTGCAGTCTTTTACACCTGGTACAACGTTCACTTGAAGTCCCGTCCTCACTGCCCTGCCTCACCCCTTCTGTCAACTTGTTAGTTTTCGCCTGTACATCTTCGAGTTTGTGCCACAAGACATTAGACACAAGTCATCGGCGAAATCCAAATCTCTTAGGATCTTTTCATCGGTCCAGCCAGCTAACGCCCATCTTCTCGCTTCTCACAGTTTACTGCATGATCCAGTCGGCCACAATCAGGAAGATCATCGGTGATAGTAGGTGGCAGCTTTGTCTTATTCCCGAATTCACTTCAAAGGCATCCCTGAGCTTTCCATTGTGGATCACTCGGCATGTGGTGTCGTCATATAGCTGTTGAATGAGGTTGATAACAGTTTGTGGGACTAAGACCGTAGTGTTGAAACAACTGCCAAATTACTTCTCAGTTGACACTTTCGAAGGCCTTTTCCAAGTCGATGAAGTTGAGGTAGAGAGTTGACTGCCATTGTACACTCTGTTCTATGATGCCGTGTAGAGTGGCGTAGCAATTTGATGTGCACATGATTTGTTCTCCCTCAAGCCAGCCAGCCAGCCGGCCAGCCCACCAGCCAGTCTGCTTCGGTCTTAAACTTGGATCCATCACATCCTTTAGTCTCTCCAGTATGATGTGGCTTAATATTTTGTTTGGTTTTGGACAGCAGCATGATTCCTCACGAGTTCTTGTAAAGACTTAGGCCTCCTTTGTTTGGGAGTTTGACAAGGTAGACCTTCTTTCAATCAACTGGTCGCTACCTTTCCTTCCTTCCCCTCAAACCTTCTGCAATAGTGATATGAACGTGTCTGCTGTTGTCTCTGCATCTGTTTTCAGTGCTTCTGAAGGAATTTCATCTGGATCTTCTCCAGCTTCTCCAGCTTTCAGGAGTTTTATAGCATTCAGGACTTCTACTTTCATCAGACCGCCTGTGTTTACTTGTAGGTCTGCTATTGCTAGTGGTATTTCCGGATGAGTTGCAGGTGGTGGTGGTGGTTGTGTAGTGGTTCAGTTTAGTGTTTTATACATTGTACTCAGTTCCTCCTCTCGTTGTTCACCCTTGCACTGGCTTATCTTCTGCTTCACCATCCTCCTCTCCTCTATCAGCTTCCATGTATCCGTTGAGATTCATTCCTTGTCTTATTTCCACTTCCTTCGGCATACGGTTATGCAGGTTTCTTTCCATATCTCTTTCAAAAAGTACCAGTGTTCTTCCACACCCGATCCTTCAGGGATGTTGCTCAGTGTCTCCCATGTTATTCTGATGACTGGCTGACTTGAAGATGTCCTTAATAGTTTTGTCCTTCAGTTTCCGTTCTGGATGTTGACCTTGTAAAATGCTTATCTGGCTTTTATGTTCCTATTCCATGTTAATTCGTTTTTTATAATATTGTTTCTACACTTATCAGAATATGGAGAAGAAAACGGAAACGGAAACGGACCCTCAACATATTACAGTCCAAATAAACAATGTGACAGTCTCAGAATGAATATATACGCTTTATTCTTACGGTTAGGTTTTAATAATCAAGAAAATCTTTCACCAAAAGATCAAATTACATTGAAGAAAATTGAATCATATTTTGATTTGAAAGTGAGAATTATTTTTATAATTATAAATATGATTTTAATAAATGGAGTGAATAATTTTTAGATTTTGCTTTACACTACTTAAAAAGAATTAAGTAACCAAAAGTGTTTACAGGAAATTTCAGATTGGATAATAGTTTGCTCTGGGATTTGTGAGGTGATTTATGAAATCACAGTGGTAATTGTAGTTATCGAGTAATAACCATTTAACCGATTTAGTGATGAGGCAGTTATGAAAAGAAAACAGTGGAGAAGAAGTTTTTCACCACAGTAGTTTCAGAGTTGACTACTGAATGTTGTTACTTCGTTTCGTGATAGCTTGTGTAAATCGAACCAGTTTTATTCCCTCAGTGGTAAATACAATTTAAAATGGAATAGGATTGGTAGTTATTCACTTAAAATTGAACTGAACATTGAGATTCTTTTTGCGCCATGAGATTTATGTCTTTAAGCATGGCTTCAAGTCATCAATAATCATGTTGAATGCCAGAGGGAATAAACTTCTGTTTTTTCTTCACTTCAAACACTAGACAATTAGAAAGGCACCTTCCATTATCTAAATGTCGGTATCATATGAACATGGTTAGTTAGAACATATAAACAATGGGCTAGGCAGGTTTTATCCTCGGATAAATGGTTAGTTATCCTAGCCAACAGAAATGGTAATAAGGCGCGGGAGGTTGGAAAGCCCACGGTGGTATGTTTGAACCTAAGGCTAGACAAATTTCTCCACCTAATAGATTATATCAAATGGTTCTTTTTCAAACGTGTTTTAATCATTCAAATATATTCATCATGGACTAACATCAGTCGGGGAACCATTAGAAATCTGGGAGCACTGGACAACTGTTTCCTCAAACTAGTATAGAACTCCTGAGCAGTACGCACCCACGACCCGGTTTCCAGATAGATATCAGGAAGGTGTAGTGAGAAACCATGACCTGTAGGGTCAACCAAACCAGTCGGAAGTGAAGTGGATGCTAACTGAAGACCTTGGGTGATAGTCTCCCCCTTTCCAAGTCGTGAATTAACAGAAGCTGGAAATTGTGAACCACTGGAAACCGGTCGAGTGGCTGAATGGTTAACGCTTTCGCCGTGAAACCTGGACGTCCTGAGTTCGGCTCCTAGCCGGGTCGTGGGTGCGTATCGCTGAGGAGTGGCATACTAGGACGGAAAAGCTGTCCAGTGCTCCCAGATTCTGAATTGTTTCACAACTGATGTCAGTCCATGCTGAATACTACTTGTAAGTTAAAAATCTCCATTCATCCCAAAAATTCAAATGTATCTTAAAAGCGTATTGTATACTTTGGCGCATTTTGAAATATGCTTTCAACTAGCTGTCATCCAGAAATTTGACAATAAAATGATAGAAGACATCATGGTAGATAACAATAAGCTTTTAAATGCATAGAGATATATCATATTATTATCATTATTGTAATTACGTAATGCAGGTTAAATCTATAACAGAGTAGAAAAAATGGATAAGGTATACAGGTCTAGTTACCTTATACAAAATGAACCTGTGGCAGATAGGGCTTTATGATGGCCATGGTAGAGATAAAGGTTGGACGCACCTTTTTCTCACGCATAACGCTGGTTTGAACTTCTCGATGGCTGGTGCTTCAGATATAGACAAATATCTTCATCTTACACCCTTCGAGTGATGTGATCGAACCATGTAGAGAATGTTACTATGCTAAAACTATACCCGTCGCCCAAGAAGTAACTGTCGTGGCTTGGTGATGTAGGGGATAACGCCCTGGCGTTGGAAGCCATCGCTGCCGAATCCGAACCCCGGGGGGAACTACATCACTCACTGGAAAGCGAGTACATCCAGCTGATGAGTCCCAAATAGGACGAAATGCGCATCCTGGATCCCACTGCTAGCCACGATCCATTATTCATCTATAGTTTGATTATGTGCCAGTGCATGAAGAGGGATAGCCAAGTTGTTCCCTAAATTATTCTTCTTAACAGGGTTCATCATTGTGTGTTTCGCTACAGTTTTGTCTTCTGCGATTTTGACTGACTCCCATCGGCTGCTTTAATCTACATACTTGACCTGACAATCATCATATGGCATTTGATAGATTAGGATATTTTAGTCTACAAAGTTTCTCTCTGTGGAATGTGTGTGGGTTTAAATATCAATCGGATCCCAATATTGTTATGAATCCGAGGTACGACAAGACAGAAGATTTGAATCCGACTTACTAGTCAAACTCCTGGCTCGATTCCTTGAACAGATATGCAGTGAGATAATGTGATGGAATCCAAATATCCTATAGACAGTGGTATCCACGCTTTCATCTTCTCTCCTCTTCAGTTTTCAATTCAACATAGGTGGTAATTCTCCTTCTTCATTTTGTAATTCATAAGTGAACTGGATGGTGACGACTATCGAGTGAATGAGTGTGAAAGAACTCTGGATATGTTGTGATTTCACGAAGTAGTGAATGTTTCATCCACATATTGCCATTATACTTTTGATGTGGATCAAAATGGTCCTAACGGTATTTCTTTCCAACTATGCTTAAATATGTTTACTACGATCGGAGGATATTGAAGATCCCGTTGCTTCACCTTCTGTTTGTTTATATATTTTATGTTGACATTTGGATGTTGTGGAGGTTAAAAGCATAATCCTATCCCTAACATAATTTCTTCCTAAGTTCATCCTTCAAATACTACCATAGTAAGGTGAGTAATTTGAAGAACAACTTGGCTATCGTTCTGCATGTACTGACCTATAATGATGCATTAAGGTGGGTGATATACGGTGATAATTCTATAATCCAGTAATACGTTAGCTGTGTGAAGAAGGAGATTGACCATGGAACCTTTGTTCATTCAACTAACACTTTCCACATGTAATATGATGAATATACATTGTTCCTAGTATTCAGTTGAATCCAACAACAACAACGTGTCCTGGTATCCGTTAATATTCTCATATAATATAATCTATTACTAATACTAATACTCCAATACTAATAGTAATAATCAGGGAAAATAATTTCTATCTACTTGATTAGATCGGTGAAATTTGGAGAAATATAGAGAAAGAATTTACTAGTAGACAATTCAGACCAATTACACCAGATAAACAGATGATATCATCAGTTTTAATTTGGTATAAAAAACAAATGGATAAGTTATACAATGAAGAAAAGGAAATATTGAATACATCAAAAATGGTAATATTAAGTGAAGAACAAAATTATTATTCATTTGTAAGTTCAATATATAATAATAAATTAATTAATTATTGAAATAAAATTATGAAATAGTAATAATATAGAATATTTGTAGCTTAGGTGGATTGTCTGACTGGATCATGCAACAAACCGTGAGGAGCGAGAAGAGGCGGGATACACTAGACCACGGAAAAGAACCTAGAAGATTTGAATTGCACCAATGATGACTTGTGTCTGATGTCGAACAAACTAGAAGATGTACAGGCGAAAATTAACAAGTTAACAGAAGATGTAGGGCAGAGAAAACATGACTTCCTTCAAGTGAATGTAGAAAAGACAGAGATGATGAAGATAGCCAACCAACAACAACAACAACAAGCTCCAATCACCATCAACAGGAGAAACATAAAGAAAGTAGCCTCTTTCACTTACCAACTTAGGCAGCATCCTCTCACCTACAGGTGGCACAAGCGCAGACGAGGACGTCAAAGCCAGCCATATTCGGAAACACAGCAAGACAGGCGTTCATTAACCTCACCATAAAGCATGAACAACATCCTGATTTTCAACACCAACCTCAAAGCAGTGTGTCTGTATGGCTCAGAGACTTGGTGCGTTACCAAAGGGATCTTCAACAAACTACAAACATTCATCAACAACTACCGCCTATACTGGCTGGTTACTGAAGATGAGATCAGATGGCCAGAAAGAATAAGCAAGGCGGATCTGTGACTGGCTGGCAACGAACCAACATAGAACTTATCGCTGAAAAAATATGCAGAAGGAAGTGGAGATGGATTGAATTAGGCATACACTGAGAAGGCCGACCGGGAGCATCACGCGCCAGTCCCTCGAGTGGAACAGCGATGGGAAGCGACGAGTTGGGCGTCTGACCTAGTGTGACATGAGGAGATGATATGAGGAAAAAATAAGAGCTTGTGGGCTATCGTGGAACCAGGTTCAGAGGTTTGCAGAGAACAGAGTGCAGTGGAGACGTGCTACTGAAGCCCCATGTTGAATTAGGAACCCAAGGGACAAATAATAATAGTAGGTGGATGGTCTTCTTTGTATTGTGTTCTCTGAGCTGAGTTTTTTTATCAAGAAGCTTTCATCGTCTTTCTAGACAGCGATATCATCCACAGCACTAACTTCAGTATGAAATAAGCTGCTATTATCTCTCCGTCAGTGATTTAATGGCTTGCTCTGACGATATGGTCTGTGATTGGTTGTTCCCTTTGATTGTTATGTCATTCCCTGACTACATAGATTTTCCTGTTGGCTGTCCCTCTGCTTCACGTCTGACCTTTCTGTCGTCTATCATTTTTCTTATTGGTTAATAGATTGTGTCTATGCCCATACATCTGTTGATTGCTGACTGACTGATATGAATGCCAAGCTTCTAGGAATTCTTGGATGATATTCTTTGTGTTTCCTCTCTCCGTCCAACATTACTACATTGTCGAAACTCAATTCACGGTTGTTATCCACGTGGATTGAGCGATGTCATATCGTTGAACAGCCAATTAGTGTTGATGTAGACGAAGACGAAGGTAGATGACCACTTTGTCCAATGTGTAGTGTTGACTACAATTATTCCAGTTGATTTTGTAAATGATATTCAGTTTGTCTTCTGGTTGTATCCTTTGGTGTGCATAATAGTGTTTGGAGGGGATTTGTTGGTTTATGAGTGGCCACACCAATTCCAAGTGGTCTCAGCAATCTGTCATGATTTCTGATATGTTCCTCAAGTATGGTAGGATGATGAGTTTACTGATTTCTGTGGATGACTTTGTAGTTGATGATGTATGGGATAGTCATCTTCTGACAAAGTTTCGTGGGTAACCGTTCTTCTTTAGGGGGGTGGACATCAAGTAATTTCCTTCATTTCTGTGTGAAGTTGTTGTACTGCAGTATGTTCTCGCTCTTCTGAATGGAGTCTGCACGCAACTGACCTTGTGGTTTGTTGCCATTGTAGTTGAGGATTTGATCATTCAGTGTGTGTTGGTTTCTTGTACACTTGAGTTTCCAGCTTTCCCCGTATTTGTTCTACTGACCAGAACATCTAGGAATGGTAGCTGGTTGTTCGACTCCTTCTCCATTGCCAATTTGATATCATTGAAAACGTTGTTGATCAAGCTGTGAGTGTTTTCTATATCATCTTTTCTAATGATGATGAAGGTACCATCTACATAGGGAATCCAAAATTTTGGTTCGATCACAGGTAGGATGATGGCTTCCAGTCTTGCCATCACTGTTTCTGCAATCAGTCCGGCTGTTGGTGATTTCAATGGAGTTCCTTTCATCTGTTTGTCTATCTTGCCATTGAACTGGAAGTATTTTGTCAGGCAAAGGTTGATGAGTTGCATCAGACTTAAACATTTAAGTTTTGTACGTTCTGTAAGGTTTATGTCTTCATTGAGCCGGATGGATATCGTTGCCTTGACCAATTGAGGTCCGATAGATGTGTATAGTGCTGTGACATCGAAAGATATCATTAACTCGTCATTTTCTATGTTAATGGAAATGATGGAAATCCAAGATGTGAGTTTCGTCATAAATCAGACTCGTCAGCTGAATATACGTCCATCCCGATGGAGTAATCACACTAGTACACTTCAGTGACGTCCTATCCTTCTTATTCAATGGCAGTAAAATCTTTTATATGTCGATTACACATATTCATATGGTAATTATTCAATAAAGGTTAACAAATGATGGATGTTATTTGAAAATTGGACTAAAAAAAAAGCATGACATTTTTGAGAAGTGTTCAGCGAACTATTTTTTATATTTCATCTGTGCTTTGAAGTTTCTGTAGCGTTTGAATTAGTTTTACGGGGTAGGGTTTCTAGGGTTATGTACAACCTTCCCTATTTATCCGAACTAGGACCGGCTAGTAATTAGTGAAGTAGTTAACCAGACCAGAAAGAATAACCAACAAAGAAATCTGGCTGGTTGGCGACGAACCAATGAAGTAAGAACCTATCGTTCAACAAATATGCTGAAGGAAGTGAAAATGGATTAGGCATACACTGAGAAGACCATTCAGGGACATCACGCTTCACGTCAGGCACTCGAGTGGAACCCAGATGGGAAACGGCTAGTTGAGCGTACGAGGTGAGCGTGACATGGAGGAGATGGTGTGAGGAAGAAATGAAAGCTTGTGGGCAGTCATGGAGCCAGGTTGAAAAGATTGCAGAGAAGAGAGTTGAATGGAGACGTGCTACTGATGTTCTACGTTCCACTAGGAACTCAAGGGATAGATAAAAAAATAATAACAATCAATAGTCAGGGAACTATGGTAGTTTCACTAACTTTCATGGATTGTATTTCTTAGCATCTGGCAAGTAGTCTCATAGGGGGTCTAACTATTCCATAATACATTTGCTTATTTGATTTTCTTGGTGACTTTTTAAGCATAAATAATCATTGCTCATAATCATATCTCAATGTGTAATCACACTATTTTTATAGTCCTGTCGCCCATCCCCTTGTTCTTTGTTTTTATTGGTTATAAAATTTTCCATATATCTGGTCAACATGTTGCGTCATTCCTACTACACATATGTTGTATGTTGAATGATTCGATGAATAAAGATTCAGTAATCAATCCCTCCCCCTTTATCTCCAACTAATTATAGTGGACTTGAGTACAGTAGCTTTATCCCACTCTATTGTGTGTGGTTGCGTGTTATTTCATGCATAATAATAGCTGAGTGCTTTTCTGAATGATTGATCTTATTCGAGTCTGTCATTCTATATCGAGGAGATCATGCTAAGAGTACGATTGTATCTGATATTAACACGTATTAACTTTCAAAATAAAGTATATAAACAAACTGAAGAGGGTTGCCATGGCATCACCAGTATCATTTATCGTCAAAGTTATACTTATGGATATTTGGGTACTGATAGTCCCCTGTAACATTCAGTCTTACTTTAAGGACACATTTACAGAACGAAAAGTGGAACATACCAATAGGTTCTTGGAAAATATAAATTCAATAGTGGATGTAATCCAATTTACCTGTGACTTAAAAAGTCATGAAGGTTACCTAGCAATAATGAACAACAGAGGTAAAGGAAAACAAGGCGGAAGTTTAGAGACGTTATCATTCAAGTCTCTGCTTACACGACAAATCGTCCCATTCCATTTCAGTTAAAGTTGGCTTAGTTAAATACCTAAGTGACAGGGCGATAAAGCATACTAGTGGGACAGAAAACCTACGACAAGAAATTAGATACATCAAGAATAACCCACCTTAATTTATCAATAAATTAATAAGAAATCGAAAGAAAAATATGAGCTGTGTTAGTAGTAATACAGGTGACAATAGTAATTCTACCACCAATATTTGATCATTATTTTTCCCTTGGGTTTCTAGTCGAACATAGCGATTCAGTAGATCGCCTCAGTTGCACTGTCTTCTCTGCAGTCGTTTGAACTTGCGTCCACTTCTGGCCAGAAGCTTTCATTTCTTCCTTACACGCTTTCCTTCATGTCACCCTCGCCTCAGACGCCCAACTCGAAGTTCCCCCTTTGCGTTCCACTCGATTGCCGGCCACGTGATGTCGCCAAATGGTCTTCTCCGTGAATGCCAAATCCATCTCCACTCTCTTCTTCCGCATATTTGTTGGGTGGCAGGTTCACGGTTGGTCCCTTACCAGTCCACAGTTCCTTCTTCCTTATTCTTTCTGGCCATCTGATCTTCAGTAGCGAGCCAGCGTAGACAGCTCTTGATGAATGTCTGTAGTTTGTTGGAGATGCTTTACGTGATACGCCAAGTTTGTGAACCACCACATAGAAGCACCACTGACTTGACTGAATTGGTGTTGAAAATCTGGATCTTGTTCTTTGTGCAGTGCAGTGCAGTAGATCTCAACACAGATTTCAAATTAATGAAAGCCTGTCTTGCTATCTTTCCGATCCTGGCTGGCTTTGACATCGTTCTCTGTGCCTGTGCTGCCACCTGTAGTTGAAACGATGCTGCCTAATTAGGTGAAAGAGACTGCTTCCTTCAGGTTTCTCCCCTTAA